TATTCTGTGTTAGCTCTGAGTTTACATCCTGCATTTCCACAACAAACCTCTCAAGTTATTATAATCACACCCACTTTGTAGATGTCAAAACAGCAGTTTAAATGGTTGTGATTTGCCCAAGAACATTCCAAAAATTATATGGTAGAGCTGAAGTTTAAGCCAAGGCTTCTGCCTCTAAATCCTATATTAGTCATTCCAAACAAATCTCTAAGAGACAGATTCCAGCATCCTTGTATTATGTTTATACCAGATGTTAATCATCTTTAAAATTTTAGATCCTATTAAAATACTAATACTTTTCCTCCTCATCAGCGATTTTGCTACAGAAGTGACCGGGATTTAATCTATTAATACTTTCCCCCCTAGTTGGTTTCTTTAACTGATTTCGTTTCACCCTTGAGCTTCATTCATACTTATTAGTGATTGAGATAATGCAATAGTAATTTCCAGACACCAGGCATCTAGGGTAGTCTTCCTGTTAACTGGTAAGCCCCATGAAATTAAATCTGTCAGAGTAAGGACAGCAAAAGTTGGCAGTAGGAGGAGTTAAAATAAGTAAATTATTCAGAAGAACTGAGCTGGCTTAGCAGGGCTTATTCTGCCACTGTTTTAGTTCCCTCCGTTTGAAAAGTAAGCCCCGACCCTGGCCGCTGCCTTACGTCAGCGTTCTTGCCTCTGTGCTCATCTAGCGTGTGTTGGAGAGCGGCAGGGATACACCATATGGAGATACTTCTGCCTTTGTTTGATGCTGAGGACAAATAAACAGCCAACAGATACTACAAGCAAGGGAAACTCTTATCTACACACGTTCAGTCACTCAAGTTCTTAACACCACAGCAAGGCACCAGCATGCTACTTGCTCTTTTTTTATTTTTATAATTTGACTCATCTCTTTCCTAAACTCCTTTACTCTCTTTTTAAAAATAATTGTTCCCTTTGCTCTACCCAGAAGAAGCTAAAGCTACCAAAACAGAGGCTTAAGCAGAATGGCAGGCAAAACAGGAGGTAGGGGAAAAGATAAGTTGAAAACTCAAACCTATTGCTGATCACAAATTTTACACATTTTCCCTGTACATATGGAATTGTGTGCATTTTCTTTAGAACATCTAAAAGCTGAAATTAACCATTTGCCCACTAATTAAGATTCCAAATTTTTCTGAATTCATAGGGGAAAGGATATAAACAGAGTTTACTTTATTCTATTAACTCTAACGCTCATCCCAGTTCCTCTCTCCTTTCTTCCTCTCCGCTACCACTACAGTTAAGATCCCTGTTTAATAGATGATTCTATGCGTTTAGAAACTTCGTCCAGGAAATTCAGGCCCCTTTGGGATGTTTCTTTTGAAATTAAGTGACTTTAACTTGACTGAGAGAAAACTTTTTGAAAATAATTATAAAAGTGAGGTTAGCAATATCAAACTAGAAATGCTGAGGTTAAAATAGCCAGCAATAGTATCTTTCTATTAATAACTCTCTGTGTGTGTTATTTATGGAAGAGTTCTATTTCTGCTCAGTGGCCATGTTTTCTCAGTGACCTGTCTTTTCACTGTGTATGATACATGGCTCTTCAAGCATCATTCTTTTGCTTGGTCAGAAAATTCTCTCAATAGCTGTGCTCTCAAGATGGAAATTTCTGAATTCTCACTTTCCTGCCATTAGAATGGTTATCATCTGCATATCTGAGGTTGTTGATATTTCTCCCAGCAACCTTGATTTCACCCTAACTAAAGAACCGCTTGATGATGGTGAAAGAGGAGAGTGAAAAATCTGGCTTAAAACTCAACATTCAAAAAACCAAGATCATGGCATCTGGTCCCATCACTTCATAGCAAATAGAAGGGAAAAGGTGGAAGCAGTGAACAATTTTATTTTGGGGGGCTCCAAAATTGCTGCAGATGGTGACTGCACCCATGAAATTAAATGACACTTGCTCCTTGAAAGAAAAGCTATGACAAGCCTGGGCAGCACATTAAAAAGCAGAGACATCACTTTGCCAACAAAGGTCCATATAGTCAAAACTATCATTTTTTCAGTATCATGTATGGATGTGAAAGTTCAACCATAAAGAAGGCTGAGTGCCGAAGAATTGATGTTTTTGAATTGGGGTGCTGGAGAAGACTCTTGAGAGTCCCTTGGACCTCAAGGAGATCAAACCAGTCAATTCTAAAGGAAATCGACCCTGAATATTCATTGGAAGGACTGATGCTGAAGCTGAATCTCCAATACTTTGGCTACCTGATGCAAAGAGCCAACTCACTGGAAAAGACCTTGATGCTGGGAAAGAATGAAGGCAGGAGGAGAAGGGGGCGGCAGAAGATGAGATGGTTGGATGGCATCACTGACTCAAAGGACATGAGTTTGAGTAAGCTCCGGGAGATAATGAAGGACAGCAAAGCCTGGTACACTGCAGACCACGGGGTCACAAAGAGTAGGATACAACTTAGAGACTGGACAACAACAATAACAACAATACAATAATCTAATTCACAATCTAATTTCAAGTAGTCAGAGGTAATTGTAAAACAAAATGTGTATTACAACATAGAAAGAAATGCATTAAAATTTAAAAGTTAACTTACCCTCTAAGAAGACTCAAATGAGAAGTTTCCGCCTCCAAAGTGGTTAGTCACTGAGAATATGTTCTTGGACTGCCTTTGGAGAAAACACCAGAAGACCTTCATGTTACATCTCATAATTATAGTTGCTATGTGGATATGTATTAAATGTATTGTGTAGATACACCAGGGTACTACATATTGCCAACCAATATGTCTAGACTCACTTCTCAGACAATTCATGTCCAATGAAAGTCATAGGACAAGTGTCATAATCAGTAACAACTTTTCTGTTTGATCATCAGTGAAGTATAATTATAAAAATTTACATTCAATTCAGTTCAGTTCAGTCACTCAGTCGTATCTGACTCTTTGCGACCCCATGGACTGCAGCACGCCAGGCCTCACTGTCCATAAATTCCCAGAGTTTACTCAAATTCATGTCCATTGAGTTGGTGATGCCATCCAACCATCTCATCCTCTGTCGTCCCCTTCTCCTCCTGCCTTCAATCTTTCCCAGCATCAGGGTCTTTCAAATGAGTCATCTTTTCGCATCAGGTGGCCAAAGTATTGGAGTTTCAGCTTCAATATCAGTCCTTCCAATGAATATTCAGGACTGACTTCCTCTAGGATGGACTGGTTGAATCTCCTTGTAGTCAAAGGGACTCTTCTTCAACATCACAGTTCAAAAGCATCAATTCTTTGGCACTCAGCTTTGTTTATATTCCAACTCTCACATCCATAATAACTACTGGAAAAACCATAGCTTTGACTAGATGGACCTTTGTTGGCAAAGTAATGTCTCTGCTTTTTAATATGCTCTCTAGGTTGGTCATAACTTTTCTTCCAAGGAGTAAGCACCTTTTAATTTAATTGTTGCAGTCACCATCTGCAGTGATTTTGGAGCCCCCAAAAATAAAGTCTGCCACTATTTCCACTGTTTCCCCATCTATTTTCCATGAAGTGATGGGACCGGATGCCATGATCTTAGTTTTCTGAATGTTGAGCTTTAAGCCAACTTTTTCACTCTCCTCTTTCACTCTCATCAAGAGGCTCTTTAGTTCTTCTTCACTTTCTAAAAAAAAAAAAAAAAGATACATTTAGAGAAAGAAAAAAGCATGTCATTTTAGATTTTAGAAAGTGATGGAGATGCTGAGTTGCTAATTAGGACTTATGATTCAGGGAAAGGACCAAATGACCAAAATATTAACTTTAACTGATGAAATATGCTTCATCCATACAATGGAATCCAAAGTCATCAATTAGAAAACAATAAAATGGGCATTTCCAGTGTCACAGAAAGGGAGAAAAATTCACTGACAAGGATATCATTTTATAGATAGGCTTGAATGAGGAAAGCAAATTACAGAACAGAGTGATCTCAGTCCCTTATATATGTGAGGTTTTATTGTTTACATTCATGAGATTGTAAAATCACGTAAACAATCTATACTTCTGGAAGAAAAATTCTGAGTTAATGAGCGTATGTCATTACTATCTTTTTTATATGAAGCATAAAATATAATGAACATACCAGATGGAGATCAATGACTACCAGGTGAGTTGCTGCAGCCAATGACTTGGTCCAGCTTCAAGAAGTGGGCTGTCCTGGCGCCTTCCCCAGTATGCTTGGCAAGGCGATCATATTGACACTATGCTGTCACAAGTGACTTCAAGTTCTAGGGGAGTCTTGCTAATGTTGGGATTTTTTATTGATATCTAATGTGGAGATTTCAAATTATGAGTAAATGTAAACCCTTTACTCCATTCTCGAATTTAGAAGATTTTCAGTACATGTGAGCTTAGAAGTGTTTTTGCTGTATATTGAAGGTGTGCTAGCTCTCCTTCTGTTTTGGGCTTCACTTTTCAGTGGACCACTGAATAACAGAACTATGATGATAAGGTAATCGTGATCATAGAAATGATAAAATGAGAGATGTTGATCATTACCGGTGCATCTGAAGATAACAGCAAACATATACTTGCACAGGTAACCTATTCATTGTGTCCACTCACATTATACGCATGGACGGAAGCATCATGGTTGTTTTGAGGAATCATTGGGAGTTACAAGGGTAACTATAATCATTGCCGTTACCAAGGGTCACTATAGTAGGACTTACTGTAGGAGTCTGTTCCAATGCACGCCATCAAAATTCTTTTGCTTCCATTGCTCTTGAGTCATACTTAGCAAATGGTTGTGTGTGAAGTCTCATGTGAAGGACTGTTGTACTTTATCAATGAATACATGGCTGATTGCAGAAGAGCACTTAACTGCAGTGGCTGTTGGAGAAAAGATTGAACTCTGCGCCATATAATTGATATAAATCTTCCTAAAATCTGATATTTCAGAAACAGAAACTGGAGTCCTTCATCAAGGAGTTCAGCGAGCTTTCTTTGACTTAGGTTGACACCAGCTTCTCCATTTCTCTGTTTATTCTTAGAATGCAGACTCCACAGTACCTGCAGCAACGTCGAAAATTTGCAGCTGCCTTCTTGGCATTTATTTTCATCTTGGCAGTTGTGGACACCACTGAAGCAGGAAAGAAAGAGAAACCAGGTGAGTGATATGGTTGTGAACAAAAGTCTTCATTGATTAATGTCTATATAATCCAGCTACTTGCTTTTTGTCTTCTCTCCTTCCTTCCCTCTCTTTTTCCCTTCTTTCCCCTCTTCCCACTTTCCTTTCTTCCAGGTATTTAGAGGAACACCTAAGTGACATCTCCTCTTATTCCATCCCCCCCACTCTAAGTCCTGAAATATAGATGGTGACCATTGGCTATTAATTGAAGTAATAATTATTAACAGCTACAGCATCCAGATGGAGAAGGCAATGGCACCCCACTCCAGTACTCTTGCCTGGAAAATCCCGTGGATGGAGGAGCCTGGTGGGCTGCAGTCTATGGGGTCACTAAGAGTCGGACATGACTGAGCGACTTCCCTTTCACTTTTCACTTTCATGTATTGGAGAAGGAAATGGCAACCCACTCCAGTGTTCTTGCCTGGAGAATCCCAGGGATGGGGGAGCCTGGTGGGCTGCCGCCTATGGGGTCGCAGAGAGTTGGACACGACTGAAGTGACTTAGCAGCAGCAGCAACACAGCATACAGAAAATTGATCGGCAATCAAGTGTTTTACTTATGTTGATACTCTTCTTTGAAAAGAGTCCTGGAAGCAAATTTTGTTTTATCTCATTAACAAAGGAGGAAACTGAATCTTAGTAAGAATAAAGCACCTTTTCTATGTCACTTGCAATGTCATAAGTTGGCTGTGGAGCTGAGAATCTGTTACATCTGTGGTCCACCACATTTAGTTTATGTTACTCCATCTTTGGGCTTCCCTTGTAGCTCAGTTGGTAAAGAATCTGCCTGCAATGCAGGAGACCTGGTTCTGATCCCTGGGTCAGGAAGATCTCCTGGAGAAGGAAATGGCAACCCACTCCAGTATTCTTGCCTGGAGAATCCCATAGACAGAGGAGCCTGGCAGGCTACAGCCCGTGGGGTCGCAAGAGTCGGACACGACTTAGTAACTAAACCACGGCCACCACTCCATCTATAAGACAGAGAAAGGAGCATTGACATACAGTGGAATGACTAATCTGACAACTGTTAATTTTCATAGACTATTTTCCTATTTTTTAGATTTAACTTGCTTTTGATCATCTTCTGTTTTTCAGAAACATTTGCTTCCAAAAGGAGGTGTCAGTAAATCACTTAGCGCAGTCCCTGGCACATAGTAAGAATTAAATAAATATTAGTGCTAGCTCCCTAGTTTTCTTTCTCCCCTCTCTTGGTCATTGGTTGATTCAACCATTCAGCTAATACTGGGCGAGTTCCTCCTCTTTCCTAGACACTGAAGAGAGAGGCAAAATCACAGGCCATGCAGTTCAGGAGCTCAGGAATGAACTCGGTTTTATCCAGGAGTCGAAGAGCTTTCTGGACGTTGATCATTTTCCTTCCTCCCCTTCAGAGAAGAAGGTGAAGAAGTCTGACTGTGGAGAGTGGCAGTGGAGTGTGTGTGTGCCCACCAGCGGGGACTGTGGGCTGGGCACCCGCGAGGGCACCCGCACGGGAGCCGAGTGTAAACAGACCATGAAGACCCAGAGGTGTAAGATCCCCTGCAACTGGAAAAAGCAATTTGGAGGTGAGTCCCACCCTTCCACCCTGAGACAATTCTTGCACTCTTCCATCAGGTATGTTTTTGAGGTTGACTCTATTTTAAAATCAAGATAACCTGGCATCTTGCCCAACCTCGGGTCCCTCGTTTTCCGCACTGCTAGAATCTGGAACCAGATAGTTTTTTTTGTCCTGGAGGGAGGGCTGCTCTGTGCATCGTAGGATATTTAGCTGCATTTCTGAGTTTTACCCACTAGTTTCTGGTAGCACTCCCCACCTCACCAACTATGACAACTGCAACTGTGACAACATGTCTAGATGTTGCTGCGTGTTTCCTTTCGGGGCGGGGGCAGAGGGTCAGATAGTCCCTGCCTGAGACCACTGCCTTAGTAACAGGGTCAGAAAACAGGCCCTCGGTCCCTCTTAACAGTGTGCTCTTTCCTTCTATTTCTAGATTCCTTTTATCTTCCCTTCCTCTTGTCTTATTTAGTCTTCTTCTCCAGATCTCTCTCTCTGTTACTTCCGGGCCTTCTCTCTCTCTCTTTTGCTCCCTCCCCACTCTCCACACTGGTTTATAGCTTTACTCACCAAACCCAGTTAGACTGCTCTGAGCCACTGTTCATAGATTTTAGCTCAGTGACTATTGCCAGTTTCATGCTGACCTCGTCTCCCAATCTGAGAAGGAATCTTTCAACACTTTTGACCTGAAACCCACCATTGAACACCAAAATTGCCTGGGTTTTTTTTTTTTCCCCACGTTCTAGACTTGTCTTTCTTGCCATAGTGGGACACAATGTCCCAAGTCTTCTCACTGGCTCACAGAAATGTGTTTTGGCCTACTGGACAGTGGAGAAGGGTAATGAATACATACACTACATCTTTTTCATTCTCTATAACCTTTGGAGTTATAACTTTATGTAAGTGGAGGGAAATTCTACAAAGGCATGGTGAAATTCACATACATTTGATCTTAAATTGTGTATAAGTACTCTAAAGATCTGTACATAAAATGTCTTAAAAATGTGTTTTAAAGGTTTTATATATATAAATACCTAGAATATATAAAGAGCTCTCAAAACTAGCAATCCAATTAGAAATTGGGCAAAAGACATAAACAATCATTTTACCCAAGAGGATACCTAGGTAGCAAACAAACACATGACAAGATGTTCAGCATCTTTTCTCTGTGATGAAAATAAAAATGAAAACCAATGAGGCATCACTATATACCACACACCTATAAGAATGGCTAAAGTCAGAAATAACATTGAATGCTAGCAAGGATACAGGAGAAACTAGATCGCTCACACATTGGTGATGGGAATACAGAATAGAGAGCCACACTGGAAAAGAGCATGGCAGTTTTTCACAAAATGAAACTTGTGTTTACTACACAATGCAGTGATTTCACTCTTAGGCATTTATCCTAGAGAAATGGAAACTTATGTTCCTATAAAAATTTATGCATGAATTTGTATAGCAGATTTAGTTGTTATAGCCAAAAGCTGGAAACCACCCAGATATCCTTCAGCTGGTGAATGGTTAAACAAAATGGGGTACATGCATACCACGGAGTATTCCTCGGCAATGAAAGGAACAGACTATTGATTCATACAGCTTGGATGGACCTCCAGGAAATTTTGCCTAGTGAAAAAGCCAATCTCAAAACATTACATACTGTGTGATTCCGTTTATATAGCGTTCTTAAAATGACACAGTTATAGAGGCAGAGAACAGATTAGTAATTGCTAAGGGTTCAGGAAATAGGAAGGGCTTCCCTGATAGCTCAGCTGGTAAAGAATCCACCTGCAATGCGGCAGACCCCGGTTCGATTCCTGGGTCGGGAAGATCCCCTGGCCAAGGGATAGGCTACCCACCCCAGTATTCTTACCTGGAGAATCCCCATGGACAGAGGAGCCTAGCAGGCTGCAGTCCATGGGGTCGCAAAAAGTCAGACACGACTGAGTGAGTAAGAACAGCACAGCACAGCAAGGAGGTAAGAAAGGAAGAAGGATGCTAAGCTGTGACTATAAAAGGATAACCCAAGGGACCTTTGTGTTAGAAGTTGTTTGAATGTTATTGATGGGGGTGTTTGCTCTTATCTATACATGTGATAAAGTCACACGGAAGTCAGTGTCCACATACTATATAAACAAGTGAGAGCACGTGAAACTGGGGAAGCCTAAATAAATTCTCTGGACTCTGTCCATGTCAAGTTCCTGGTGGCGCTATAGCTATGCAGGATATCACCACTGAGGGAAGCTGGGTGTAGGGTATATGGGATCTCACTGTATTATTTTTCACAACTGCATGTGAACCAACAATTACCTCAGTACAGAAAATTGAAACCAAAAGTGTCTGTTTTCATGGTACTCCAAGAGGAACTCAGAGATTTCTGTTTGGTCCTACCCTGCCTCCAGCGGAGTGCAAATACCAGTTCCAGGCCTGGGGAGAATGCGATCTGAACACGGCTCTGAAGACCAGAACTGGGAACCTGAAGCGAGCCCTCCACAACGCCGACTGCCAGAAGACAGTCACCATCTCCAAGCCCTGCGGCAAGCTGACCAAGTCCAAACCTCAAGGTAGGTTCCTGTCTGTGAACCAAAATTTTAATCTGAATGGACTGAGGGCCTCAGGCAGGATCTGCAGATGTGCAGATTTTCCACAGGGAACTCTTGCGTGAGTCACCTTAAGAAAGGGATTAGAAAAAGTCCATATATTGAGCACCACACAAGTACTTTTCAGCAGTAGGCAATTGATGAGTTCAGATTGAAGTCCTCTGTACTGATGAGGGTATAGGAATAGTCTCCTTGCAGAAACAAACAATTTAGCAAAACAGGCAAATTAAGACAGTTATATGGTGACTTACAGGGCTTCCCTGGTGGCTCAGTGATATAGAATCTGCCTGCTAATGCAGGAGACGCAGGTTCAATCCCTGGGTCAGGAAGATCCCCTGGAGAGGGAGATGGCTACCCACTCCAGTATTCTTGCCTGGGAAATCCTTTAGACAGATGAGCCTGGCGGGCTATAGTCCACAGCTTTGCAAGAGTCAGATAAGACTTAGTGATTAAAACAGTAATGATAACAACAATGGTGACTTACAGTCTAAGCCCTAAATCAGGACTACATCCTGACAAGTATGAACAAACTTAGGAAGATCAAGAGGCTGAAAATTCAAAATCAAATCTCTCCTAGATTATCAATGTATATAGTTTTCATGAAATCAGTTACATTATTTTATATTTTTCCTTTTTCTACTACCTAACTTGGTAAATTCTATATTTCTAATATTTTTTTCAGAGCCTTTATATTTTTTTAGTTAGATTAGCTTATCATGGAATTCCAAAATTATGTAGACCTTTCTTTCTATTCATTCCCAGAAAGTCTGCTTTCATGCTAGAGAAAGTAAAGCAAACTAAATATCATGGCCATGGTTTCATACAATAGAATCCCAGTTGAGGGGATACAAGAAGGTATTAAAATCTTCTATTTCATGGTTGTATGGGTGAGTTATATCCCCCCAAATTCAAATATTGAAGTCTTAACCCTCAGTCCCTCCAAATGTGACTGTGTCTGGAGATGGGGTCTTTAAAGAAGCAATTAAAGTTAAATGAAGTCATAAGGATGGGTCCTAATCCAATATGACTAGTATATAAGGAGATGAGGACACAGACAGACACACAAGGAAGACGCGGTGAAGACATAGGGAGAAGACAGCCATCTACAAGCCGATGAGTGAGACCTCAGAAATCAGCTTTGCTGACACCATGATCTTGCATTTCTGGCCTCTAAAACTGTGAGAAAATGAACTCTGTTGTTAAGCTAGGCCCTCTGTGGTCTGGTGGACGGTAGCCCTAGCAAGTGAATACAGTGAGCCTCAGTGAACTCTATCTTAAAATATCTCCTTGGCCTTTGCTCATTTTTGACTCTAAAATGAATATGAAAATTCATATTGGCTAGATTAGTTTTAAGGAAAAATTCAGGAAAATGAACATTAAAAGTCCATAATAAGTGAAAATAAGAAAAAATATCCCCAGAAACTGAGGAGGATTAACTGGCTTGCTGCTGATGGGCAGGAAGGACCCCTTTCATAGGCCTCGCTATTTAGTCTGATGGAGTGGTCCATAGAAATGGTTACCTCCAATCTCAGGATGGTCAGATGCAGGCTGGACCTGCAGGTGCATATCTGGGATTCAAGCTGCTCTCTTCAGGTCATGGAAACCTCTGCTGGTTGTAGTGTGTATTTGGAAGGTATGACGTGGGGCTAGGGTCAGGGTACTGAGTTTGTCTGCCAACTGTACAAATGTCAATCTTCTGGAAACAATGACACAGAAATCTAATGAAAATCCCACACCTCATCTATTCAGTGAGAGAGTTCCCAGACTGGAAGAACTAAGAGATGCAGTTTTTAAATTAGTTGATTTTTAATCCAGTCAGAGAACCAAAATCTTCAGCAAAAATATAGAGTGGAAAAGAAACGGGATTGAAGATGTCTCCATGTTCCAGTCTACTGGTTCTCAACCTGGGTTGCACACAAAATTTTCTGTGGGACCTTATAAAGATCCCAGTGCCCAGGTATAACCCAGACCAACTAAATCAGCATCAGTAGTTTTGAAAAATTAAAATGGTTTTTAGGAGATTTCAGTATCAGCCAAAATTGAGAGTAAAATTCACAGGGACCATGGATAGGAAGGCACACACACACACAAGCTTCCATGCCATCCTTGTCTGTCCTGCAGTTTGATGGGTGAGGAGAAGAAAAAATGGGATTGTGATTAGACAGGTGGTGGATGGTGGTGGAGCTGGGTGAACATGGAAAATGTCGAAAAGTTTGGAATGAGTCAGACAAAGTAGGAACATGATTAAGAAAGACTTCTCAGGATATTTGATAAATATATTAAGTGAGGCTCCATTTTAATTGGACTGGTGAATAGTTCCCTTTTTTACATTTCCCATTTATGGATACATAATGAAGGTTAGAAGTTTGGTTCAGGCTTAAAAAATAGAGGTAACAATATTTCAAGTGGGTAGGCAGTCTTGTTTTATGTCAAATTTTTTTTACTTAATTTTTTATGTCAAAAATTAAAGTACATAATTAATTGAAAATGGACTTACCTGAAGTGAGTTCTGTATTTCACAACACTACCAGTTATGCATCTCATAGGTCATTAAGATGTAATCTTTTGGTATATAACATACCTTTGCTAAAACTAATCTTTTCCCTCTCAACAGCGGAGGGTTCTATGAATGCAGTTTGCACACCAGGTTCTCAACTTGGTCTGCACACACAAATTTCTACGGGAACTTATAAAGATCCCAGTGCCCAGGAATAACCCAGACCAGCTAAATCAGCATCAGTAGTTTTGAAAATCTTATCATATGAGTTGAGTTAGGGAGACTGTCATATAGAAGATTTTCTTAATGGGATTCACACACACTTTCCATGACATATTTTTCATGGTTTAAGTAAAAATGTAACAGGTGGCACGTGTGGGTTGTGTATATTTTTATACCATTTTTTTCAAATAACCATAAATGGATGTTACAGCTTTCTCTGTGTCAACTTCTACCCTTAAGATAGCTCATTTATTTCTGATCAATGGAGAAACAAGTCATAATGAGATAGAATCTCTATTATGATTAGTATTGTTCTGTTTCTACTCTCACACCTTGCTCTAGGTGTTTTACATATATTATCTCATAAAATTCCATATATCCTTGCAAGTAGATTTTGATATGAAGGATACTAAAAAACACTGGTACTTTATTTGCCAAGGGCTACATCTCTAATAAATGACAAGAGTCCATGCTTGGTTGACTCTAAGTTCATATTCTCTTTCATACCTTGTAGATTTCTTACTTAATCTCATATGGGTATTAGGTAACCTCCATGAGTTTATTTTCCTTTGAAATAAGAGAAGATGAGGTTTGTCAAGGTGACTCAGCAGTAAAGAATCTGCCTGCAGTTCAGGAGCCACAGGAAACACGGGTTCGATCCCTGGGTCGGGAAGATCCCCTGCAGGAGGGCATGGCAACCCGCTCCAGTATTCTTGCCTGGAGAATCTCCATAGGCAGAGGTGCCTGGTGAGCTACAGTCCATAGGGTCACAAAGAGCTGGACACAACTGAAGTGACTTAGCACTCACGCACGAGCTTTGTAAAGTCCAACAGTGATGTGGAGGATGATGCCCAGATGGAAGAAGACAGTTTTTAGAACTTTATTTCCAAAACTGTTCTGAAAGACATTTCCCAGAATGTAAGTTTCAGGAGGACAGGGACTTAGTCTATTTTATTCTCCACTATATCCCCTTTGCTTAGAACATGGAGCAGCACACCGTACATGATGAATAAATATTTATAAAATAAATGCTATTAATAAAAGGAAAAAATGTTTTGTAAACCAGATCCACCAAAGAGTAGTGGAAACTGTAGTAAAGAAGTGATTTAAGGGAAATTTTCTCAAAACTATACAATTATAAATTAGTTTCTTCTTTTATTCAGGAAAGAGTAAGTCATCAATGCTCTCTGGTGTTTTAGCTCGGTACATAAAAAAGACAGAGGGAGGTAGGGGACCCACTAATTTTGACTCAAGCATTGTCATGGTACTCCTTATCATTTAATTCAAGCATCAAACAACACTTTGCAATGCATTTCGTTTATCCTACTTTTATATGAGAAAACACGGGCTCAGAGAGTTTAAGCAACTTGCCTGAAGTTTCACAGCTTGTAAGTGTTGAAACCAGGATTGAAATGTAAAATCAGACTGATTCGGAAGACCCACTACCTTTTCAATTGTACTGTGTTACCTGTAGGTCCTGGAGAAGGGAATGGCAACCCACTCCAGTATTCTTGCCTGGAAAATCCCATGGACAGAGGAGCCTGGCAGGCTACAGTCTGTGGAATCTCAGTCAGACATGACTGAGCACACATGCACATACACACATGCCCCTAGGTATTATAAACTCATGAAACTCTGGCAGTATTAGATAAATCCCGATTCCTAGATTCATTACATGGTAGAGCTTCTAGGGACCTTGCCTGTGATTGATGGGGCCCTCATGTAACAAATGAGGACAAAAGAAATCAGTGATTCATCCAAGTCCCCCTATTGTTTAGTAGCAGAATCATTTCCAGGCTTTGTTCTCTTTTGACATCATTTGTCTGTCTTTTTAACCCAGTCACTGACCTCATAGCCAGAATGTGCTTTCTTTCCCCCATCATGATCCTTCTCATGAAACAGCATCAAGTTCTGGGATTTTTTTTTTTTTTTTTTTGGTCTGCTTATTTTGTAAAACTCTTGCTTGGTTACTGACCTCTTGTTTTGAGAAATGGTAGTGGATTAATATGCAAACTGCATGATCCTCAGTGTGAAAAAAATGCTCTTTAAATTTTAGAATGGAATATTAAGATGATTGTAAGGTTGTGATGACCTAACATTAAATTGAGGAAAGATGGGAGAACATCCTCCTTGTGGGATTATCTTTGATTTGATTATTAATGAGGTTTAAAGACTAAAAGACTTGCCTGGGCAGAGGAGGCGCTTAATATCTAGAATTGCCATCTAAATTTTGGGAAATTACTAA